GAAGAGTGTGGAAAATCGCTTGCATTTGAAGAGGAGGCTTTATCGCTTCTAATTGAAGAATGGAACCTCTGTGCTCACATGAACAACTACATGAAGCTTCTTACAGATTTAGCGAATGTAGATGTTATGATTAAAGATGAGGATAATACATTGTTATTGTTGAGTTCCTTACCCGACGAGAAATATGAGACCTTCATTCTTACTCTTATTAATGGGAAGACATCTCTTTCGTATAGTGAGGTCACCGTTATACTTGTGAATTATCAGCTTAGGAAGAAGGATAAGGAGACTTCAATTGATATAGTAGCGGGGGTATTAGTCACAAGAGGGAAGAGTCTAAATAGTAGTAAGAGATCACAGTCTAAAGGAGCACACCCTGCAGTTGGTAAGAATCAGTGTGCCTTTTGTAAAGAAGATGGACATTAGAAAACCGAATGCCCAAAGTTAACAGATCGATCCGAGAAGAATTAGGGGAAAGCTATTCAAGCTTCAGAGGTGAATGTTTCTAAGGCTAGTGACGACAATTCAGATTCGGATTCTTCGGGCTACTCATTAGCACTAGTGTTAGTTTATTATGCTGACTCTAGGAAGTGGATGTTGGATTTGGATGCTTCTTACCATATTTGCCCTAGGAGGGATTGGTTTTCTAATTTTGAGGAGTTAAAAAGAGAGGATGCCGTGCTCATGAGTAATGATCATGAATGTTCTATTGGTGGTATCAGTACTGTTCGTATTAGAATGTGTGACGGGGTGATTCGAGAGTTGGATGAAGTGAGATTCGTTGCTCAGTTGAAGAAGAATATCATTTCACTTGGAGTTTTGGAGGCAACAGGCTATTGGGTGGCCTTAGATGATGCATCTTTGAAGGTCACATTTAGGTCCATGATTATGATGAAAGGTGTCAGAAAGAAAATTTTGTACTATTTGATTGGGAGCATGGTGATTGGTGGAGAACTGACGACTTCTTTGAATTTAGCTAGACTACGACGTTTGTTAATGCTAGGATATTTGATTGTTGATGCCGTGCATGGATTGTTGAGGAGTGCTTTAACCTGCAGATTGAAGTCCTATGAGGACATTGGTATGAGCAAGAAGACTGAGGTGGAGTTTGATACTTCTATTCACCGAGTCAAGGGTCTTCTAGGTGGTGTTCATTCAGGCATTTGGGGGCCTTCTAAGAAGGCATCATTGGGAGGTAATAGGTATTTGGTTTGCTGTGTTGTGACTGTTCTAGGCATTTATGGGTTGCAACCAAGTCTCATTGGTGTGAAGTCCTAGTAGTCAACAACAGGTGGAAGAAGTGTATTGACAGAAAAGTAATATGTCGTTCTGATTTTGGTAGGGGTTCTTTTCTACATTTGTGCCGAGCTCACGGCAGTTTGAGATATTTCATTGGAGAGGAAACATTGGGGCGACAAGATGAGGTGACAGATCTAATGAGTCGTTCATTGCTGGAGGAGGATCAGTGTTTGATGTCGAGCATTGATTTGCAAAGGAGTTCTGGTGTTGAGGTTTCGATATATTGGAGCCATCTTAGTCATAGGTTGTCGACTGTCGTGATTGGAGTATTTGGATCTGGTGGAGGTGCTTTAGATTTTGGGTTGCTTCGGATATTTGGTTGCCCAGAATATGGTCACATCAAGGATGTGAAATTTGATTTGAGCGCACATTTAGAATTCAGATGCGTGTTTGTTTATCAACTATGGGACTCTGATATTGTTCTGAGTAGCTATGTCACATTTGACTCTTGGAAGGTGGAGAGTGTTAGACAGATCGTTAGGATATGGTCACATCAAGGATGTGAAATTTGATTTGAGCGCACATTTAGAATTCAGATGCGTGTTTGTTTATCAACTATGAGACTCTGATATTGTTCTGAGTAGCTATGTCACATTTGACTCTTGGAAGGTGGAGAGTGTTAGACAGATCGTTAGGATATCGTAGCGGGTGGAGAGTGATGCTACTCTACGTTGGATGGAGATTACTCTACGTACTCCAGATTATTCTGTATTGTTTGGGATTCCAGCTGAGGTGACACAGATTAGGGATCATGTTGATGTGGATATAGATGATGAGTTTGTTGATTCGAGTGCAGCTAGTGGACACGGTTCTGATTTGGCTATGGCCGTTGGTTCATCTTAGGTGGAGATGTTTGGTTCGTTTCATTTTGGGGCCATTGGGAGAGTTATCAGTTGCACATTTGTTGGTGATGTTGGAAAAGGGTTGAAAACCCTTTTAGTTGATTGAGAGCCTTTGGAGGCCATTTGGTGAACTATGCGAATGCTTGATTCCTTTAGGCAAGAGGATACGTAAGCAGTCATTTTATGATGTAGCCGATTTAGTGAGTTGATACCGACATTTGAAGTTTGTTCGCATTCTCGTTTGGGTTCTTGACTTGCTGTGGATTGAGTCTGTTGTCGTGGATTTGTTCTACTTCATACTGGACGCAACAAGTGGGACGTTTGGTTGGTATTAGTGTTAGCTCAGTTTTGTGAAGACTTTACCGAGGAAGAGAATAATAGAATTGGTGAAGAAATTGGAGAAGAACAGGTTTTGGAAGCAGGGAAACATTTTTGGTGATATTTGGCCGACCATGAGGCTAGGCCGGTCGACCGAATACGTGCACATACAAGGGATATAAATCTAAACTTGCTGCGGTAGACCGTCATGGTCGACCGCCAAACCCTGTAATTGAATTTTGGGTTCTATCGTTTGCCACGGTCGACCGCGATGGTTTCTGTGGTTGACCGCCAGTCGGGTCAGGCCCAAATTTAGTTTTCCTATTCTATTTGGGATTTGCGTTTTGTATAAATACAAACACGATTTTGGTGTTTCTAGAGCAGTGAATTGGGGTTGTTTTGAGCACAGATAAATAGTCTTTTCTGGACCTATTGGTTAGGGTTTTGTTTGAGAGATTGAGAGCTTTGTGTGAGAGATTAGTTTGTTGATTTGTAATCTCTATTTGTACTCTTCTTCTCTATTAGTGAAAACCCATCCCCTTCTTGCCCCGTGGACGTAGGCAACTTGCCAAACCATGTAAATTAATTTGTTTGATTTGTGTCGTTATTTTGGATTGTTTGGCTTTCTCTCTTGGCATTAATATTTGTTCTCGGCACCCTATCGGTTTTGGCCGCCGTGTACAACAATAATTTAGATAGACAAATTTGACCCCACAATGCAGAATACTTAACGCGTTAGCTACGGCACTGCATGGGGCGCTTACATGCGACTTTTTTTTTGCTTCTTTCTAGTACTCTGGGTTGTCATCTGTTGTGCTATAATATTGCTTACTGAGTTAGCTGTACCTTATGCTCCTTTTCTTAAAAATTATAATCTAAATAAATATAGATCACGCAGCGAAAATAAACTAAATTAAAAAATATCTCGAGCCATTGTTGTCTAGAACAATCTGTAGCTCAGAAAATTAGTTCAGAGATAATCTGAGCATATACATAAACAAAGAATAAAAGTTAGATCACTGTTAAAATAAATAAAACAAAAAAATACAGAAAGAGATAAATCTAATGGAGGAATTATGGATGTATTTATAGGCTAGGCTATGACCCTTATGTTATAACTAGAATTCTTAAAAGATAAGACTTCTTAAAAACAATCTCCATCCACTAGGAAAACTATTTAGATATGATTTTATCTTAATCCACCGCAACTTTTATAGAATAAGAATTTCAAATACCACAACAAATTAATATAATTTGTATCGTGCGAGCCACAACTTTATCCAGATACAACACCTTTGTTATGGAGAAATTTGTCCATAGTTTCTACTTCATTACATATTTTCTTTCTCATTTTACCTTTGGCTTCTTGTAGGCATCTCATGCAAAGTTTAATTCTGCCTCCATGATTATTATGAAGTCATTTTAATACTATTGTTGGGTTACTGGAATCTGTGGATACCAAGTAATCACAACCTTACACTTACACTGCTTTTTTTATGGAGTTTTACTTCAATGTTTCGATTTAGCTGAATTCAGGTATCTTCTAATATTGTTTTTTGTCTCATTTAAACTAAGATTCAGTTTGACTTTGTTTGTATTTCCCCAGCATCTTACTATATGCCTGCATTTTTCTTAACAGTATCTGTTATTCTGTTTACTAGTTTGGCCTGGTGACTTTTTGTAAATGTTTGATTAGTTTATGCAAAGCAGAAATTGAAGCAGTTGTCAAAATGGACGAACTCAAGCGACATAAACGAGCGGACATGGAAATATCACCTGCGTACTATTCATTTCGATGTATTATATTTCTGCACATAACAAAACCATACATCAATTACAATCTGTTTTGTGTTAATAGAACACAGAGAGAGAACATTTTATCTAAAGAGAAAAATAAAAATAAAATACGAGTATAATGAAATTGAAATAAGAGTTTTATTTATAATTTGATCCATATCATTGACTTCAACGTCTTTATCGTTACTCCAACCGTGGGATAAAAATAATATCATTGCCTTTTATCCTATAATAATATATCAAACGAATATAAAAGCAAATCCTTCGTTGAGCCAAGTCAAAGCGTATGAGTTCCTAAAATAATTGGCCCACTAATAATTCAGATTCAGCCACACCCCCAAATTCAAGTTATATTGCAGCAAAATGAGACGAGGTTACTCAAATCTATCTCAATTCCTACTAAACAATTTTTTGTAGGTTTTCTAATATTTATCTCTTAAAACCCCCATATTTGCAATATTATCTCCAAATTTCAGTAGTTACAAAATTATCTTTTAATCGTCTCAATTGGAAAAAATTACACCCATGATCAACTGTGTTACTTATCAAACAGTTTAGGTTTTTTCCCCCGCTTTACCCCTTTGTCAACTTAGCAATCTAACCCTGAAACCATCCACTGAATAGAAATGATCAAATGAATTAGGGATAGTTTCGCAAATACTAAGCTTTGGGAGGTAATTTTGCAAATACAAATGAATTAAGGAGTACGTATACAACTAAGACTACATTTTATAAGATGTGCTGACTTGTTCATTCGCATCATGCAAAGTGCAAACAAACTCAATAGACTTTTGCTCCATTGGACAGAAGAAGCAGGAATTGATCAAACAACCAACAACCCCTTCAATTAAAGCCCTGCCAACAATTTACAGGAACGCATACTATTTTTTACATAGATGGAATCCAGTCATCATGCAATTTCCTTGTTCTTCATCTTCTTCCTAATCTCTCCCCCATCATTTCTCCAGTCTCAGCAGCCATATGAAGGCTTGGGCATCTCAGACTGCACCAACCAACACAACTCAACCTCTCTCCTTGGTTACTTCTGCAATGGCTACAAATCCTGCCAATCTTTCCTCACTTTCAATTCTAGACCCCCATATCAATCAGTCTCATCCATCTCAACCCTCCTCAATTCAAACCCATCTCAGATCTCTCAACTCAACTCTGTCGCCCTCGACTTCTCCTTCCCTACAAACACGAAGGTGATCGTCCCCGTTGCCTGCTCCTGCTCAGGTGCATACTACCAGGCCAACTCCTCCTACGTTGTCAAGCATCTCGATACGGATTTCACTATTGCGAACAATACTCTTCAAGGTCTATCTACATGTCAAGCTCTTCATCAACAGAATAATTACACTTCTTCTTCGTATTTGTTTTCGGGTAACGAGATCACTGTTCCTTTGAGGTGCGCGTGTCCTACTCCTGCACAGAGAGACAATGGTGTTAAATACCTGTTGAGTTATTTGGTGGATGCAGAGGACACGGTCTTCCTGATTGGGCAAAAGTTTGGTGTCAATTTTACTTCCATTCTTGATGCTAATGGTCTCTCTCAAACAAATGCTAACATATATCCTTTCACAACTCTTCTCATTCCCTTGGAACTTCAGCCTAATGCTTCTCAGGTCTCAAAGCCTTCGACTCCTCCTCCTCCTCCTCTGATACCCTCTTCTTCTCCTTCAAATGGAAAGAAATCAAATCAAACAGTGGTATATGTGGGTGTCGGAATTGCAATTGTTTTGTCTCTCTTGATTCTCTCTCTGATTGCTTTCTACATTCTCCGCAAGGCCAAGAAGAAGCAAAAGGCCAGAAAAATCAGTCTCGCCAATGGCGCAGGAGTAATATGTGGAAAACCATCTGAAAAATCCTCATCAGAATTGTTCATAGATTTTGGTCCGTCTGAAAATTTCTTTTCGAGCATTTCAGATATTGGACAGTCTCTCAAAGTTTATAAATTTGAGGAGCTTCAGTTGGCAACTAAGAATTTTAGTAAGGACTGTAAGATCGAAGGATCAGTTTATCGAGGAGTCTTCAATGGAGACTTTGCTGCTGTAAAGATGATGAGCAGAGAGATATCAACAGAAATTCAAATACTAAAAAAGATCAACCATTTCAATCTGATTAGGCTTTCTGGATTATGTTCAAGTCACGGTCGCTGGTACCTTGTATATGAGTATGCTCAAAATGGATCGTTGAGCAATTGGATATTTGATAGAAGCGGTACAATGGCATTGAGTTGGATAAGGAGAGTACAAATAGCTCTAGATGTTGCTAATGGCCTCAATTATCTCCATAGTTACACCGACCCTCCTTATGTACACAAGGATGTCAAAAGCAGTAATGTTCTTTTGGACGGGAATTTCAGAGCCAAGGTTGCTAATTTTGGCCACGCAAGAGCAGCAGAAGGGAAAGAAGGCGAGTTTGAGCTCACGAGGCATATAATCGGGACTAAAGGATATATGGCCCCCGAGTATCTGGAGCACGGTTTGGTGTCTCCAAAGCTTGATGTATATTCCTTTGGTGTTGTCATGTTGGAGCTTTTCACAGGGAGAGATGCTTCAAGCTTGCAAAAAGGTGAGGATAGTTTCTCAGTAAAAGACTTTATTGCAGTACTGACAGAGGAGGAAGAAGAAGAAGAAGAAGAAAAGGTAAGAGAAAAGATTGGGAGTTTTATTGATCCACTAATGGAAAGGGAGTTTCCATTGGAGTCAGCAGTTTCCGTAGCTAGATTGATCGAAGGTTGCTTGAGAAAGGAGGCTGCAAGCAGGCTGAACATGGGAGATATTGTACAGTCTCTGTCGAAATTGTTTGCTTCTTAACTGAGCAATTCTTCTTCAAGAATTCTGTCAACATGCGAAAGCTTCGGAATTGGGAAACATCTTCAGACCTGAGAACCATCTTCAAGTAACTGATAAACTAAATCTTTACTCTTCCACTTTAGATGTAGGCTAAAACTATGTCATTCTTTTCTTGTTCATTGTAGCGAATTTGATTATATGCTTGTGGTTTGTCATTCTGTTATTGCACTGGTTCTTGTGTCCTACAACTGATTTGTGATTCTACTGCCAGTGGCTTGTGCTTGTATCAGGTTAAACTCCCAAATTTCTTAAAAAAATCAAATCCAGAGTTTTTTTTCCCTCCTCCTCTTCTATTGAGCCCTTGCTTAGGATCTGAATTGAAAATGCATTCATGGTTCAAATGCTATGAGATAGGGCATAATGCATTGCTAGCTACATCCTCGCTGGCGTTTTCCAAGTAGTAGGAGAAAAAAATAAAAGCTGTGACCTAGTTACAGTAGATCTAATTAGAATGTAACATGAAAATGAAACAGGTTTCTTAATTTTATATATTATGACAGTAACTGCTAGAGGATTCAGCTTATTTGCAGAATTCTGCAGTAACTACCTGTAATATATTTGAATGAACTAGCTTACACTGACAGGGAAGAATGAACTCAGCATAAATTGGTGAAATCATAAAGAAAAATATAGCTTAATTCTATAAGATTCTCCTAATCTAATTCCCAAAGTTTTCCTAATCTCATTATTAATTGGTGGGTGTCTATTCATTTCAATATTGTACTTAATCAAAGATACTTATGACTACGAGTTGACTAAATCATACACAAAATAAATGTTGAATGTTTGATTAAAGGGAAAAAAAGAAAAAAAAAACATGACAGCTGAAGTACAGAAAGTTGTTACGGTACAAGGCCAAATGGAAGCAAGAAGCAGTGAAGATATGCAGGCTCCAACATGGCAGCCACCTTCAGGGGATATACCATGGTGTTTATCGTAGCATTAGAAAGGCTAAAATATCATTCAATTCTAATGAATCTAATAGGGTAAAGGCTTCATATTTGGATCATTTCATTGGCCACATGAGAATAAAGCTGATATGGATATGAAGCTAATGACAAATTTTATGAAATTATCTGCTAATCATGAAAGTATATGCATGTATTAATATGCAAGGAAAACAATTATCAATGTGTTACAAACTTCATGAGATTATATCCTAATAATGCAAGTCTATAACCACACTAACAAGCAAGGAAGCTGCTGGTGATTCTGCTTTGCCCTAGTCTATGACCGCAATGGAATTAGTATTATACATGGGCTATCAAAACATGCAAATGTTCTCTCTAAAATTTGCTACAAAATGGACAAAAGAAAAGAAAATCCCAAACTAATTAAAAGTGTTTTACTCAGTTACACATGATCGCAATTTGTTTTCAAAAATAACATACATGACTGTATCTTTATTTAAAAAACATCCCTGAGATTGATATACTCTGCATTGAGAAAGTCACTTAGATAATATTTGCTTTTTAATTTGCTAGCATCGCTATACAAAACCAGGCACAGAATACTAGTTTATTTTTTCATTCCACAATTTTACTAGAAAATGAGGGAATCTATTCACACATCAATTGTTTTCTTCTTTTTTTTAAGTTGAACCAAACTAAAAAAATGGTGGAAAGTACTTTCACCCCATATTTTTTGGCGAAACAAACACAAGAAATAATTTTCATGAAAGTGAGGAAATACAAAAAAGTGAAGGAAAATGGTTTTTGGAAAATGAAGGAAATGAACCAAACATGCCCTTTGAGGAAAAGGTGGGGGAAAAATCTTTATACCTTGTAACTTTCACAAAATCTCGTCTCCAGTTGTAAATTTATTTGAATGACCTTCCCATGTTAACATATATGTATATGCATTTCCCCTGTGATGATGAGTTTATATATATATATATATATATATATACACACCTGCGTAATTGCTCTGATACCCTCCACTGAAAGACTGAACAAATATTAAAAGATAGCTGAAGACATTAGCCACCCCCTATGACATCCTACAATCAACGTACTATGCACAAAGTAATAGTTGCGATGATAGACTAAGTTATAATCTGATGCAGGTAGCCATAGAGGCCAACAAAATCCAATAATTTATAATCATCTTGCATATACTAATTAATCCATCACTTTTATTTTTTTCAAATATAAGAAGACAAAACATGTCAACTATATGATCTGGACTTGTCATGAAACATCTTTAATTGGTTCGGTCAGCCCAGCCTGACTATATGATCTGGTGCAGAAAAGAAGGAAAAGCTATACCAGGCTGACTTCTAGATGAAGCAGCCAACTTTCCGCAAATTTCTATACCTCCTTAGACCTTATACCACTTCTATCCAAGTTTTACATCAAAACCTTAATTGAGGTTTGCACCTAATTAAAGATATGGGTTGAGGATATACAATATGTTGTGCCTTAAACTACTGAAGTATAGTTTATTTATATAAATTCTACATCAACCGTAAGTCACAATACAATCCCGTCTAGTTTTGGTTGGAAACCTCTGGCTGCCTTTCCTATCAAGACTTGTATTAGTAGTGGAATGAAGGATATGTGAAATCTTTTGACCAAGTTTACATATATAATATTTGTTGGTTAATGACCATTTCAAATGAAGACTTGTCCCTATTTCTGGCATTAGTCATATGGTGTTGCAACTTTGGGAAATGATTGTAGACATGATAATACACATGTTACAAAAACTAGTTTTCAAAAAGCACTTCCCAAATGTGAAAACTCTTCATTTTTCAAAATAGTCCAAAACATGAAAATGAAACACACTTGTTTTGACATTTTGACTAAACCATGTTTTAAAACTTTATAAATTGATTTTATAGACTTAATAAAATATGTAAAAACTGATATTAAAGTCTATAAACTAATAAAATAATATTTTATCAAAAACACCTATATTTTGATAAAATCAACAAATACGTGTGTGTGATTAATATGAGCTTAAAGTATCTACACACAAGTATAAACCTAAAACTAAATTACCCAAGCTTGATAGATCTTCATTGAAGCTCTTCTTGGTAAACTTACAGATGAAGCTTGAACTTGGATCTTGAACTTGAATTGTATTGCTTCATACCGATATTCCGCCAACCTTCATTCGATATGATCGTGAATGCTCGATTCTATCTATCCTCCAACATGTTGTTTGTCTGCAATAAATACAAAACAAACATTAGACAAACAACCAGACAAACAACGTTAGATGTAAATTGTTTATAAATCATCATCAAAACAAAAGGACCCAAAAACAGATACGACACGAACACAGATACGAGATACAACAACATCTAAAAAAATAGGATACGAGGATACATTTTTTAATTATTATTATATATAGATGGAACGTAATACGAAAATTTCAATTTAGTATAAATGAGTAACTTTCTCCATCAGATTTATGATAATAATATGATGCTGGGCTGCTGCTCGAACTCAAAAATCGGAGGAGATAATGATGACATTGGTGGTGGTTGTGCTGGACGGGGAGGAGAAATGGAGGGTAGACTTGAGGAGTCGGAGGAAGGAGGAGTCGGTCGGTGGGAAGGATCGGGTCGGAAGAACGGATCGGTCGGCGAGATCGGATCGGAACAACGGAGGTGATCGAATCGAACAGGAGTGAGCTGAGAGATTGAGAGAGAGGATTAGGGTTAGGGTTAGGGTTTTTTCTTTTTTTCTTTCGTTTAAGTCAGGTGAGGATCGAATCAAACGAGAGATTTGAGAAATAAGGATGTGTTTTTTAATCGAATTGTTTGGGTTGGATTTTAATAACCAAACCCGTAACCCGAATGAATCGGCTTTCAGCGAATCCGAACCGTGTCCGAGCTCATTTGACCGTGTCCGAGCGTAATTTGACCGTTGACCCGTGTTGGACACGTATTGATCGTGTCCGACATGTGTCGTGCACGTGTTGTGACGAATCCGTGCCCAATTCGAGTCGGACACGGATTCATGGCCTCCGGGGGTGAATCCGTGCTTCAGAGCTGATGAGTTTATAAGTCCGGGTAGAAAGAGAAACATGGCAAAAGTCCGATACAAGTCTCTTTTCTATGGACCAACACCAACTGTAACGATGTAAAGCAAGTTATAGTGAAAAGTAATAAAGTTAAAAACTCTCTAATGAACATTCAATTATGANAACACCCCCCCCCCCCCCACCCAAAAAAAAAGTATTTTTTTTTTAAATGTTGGATGCTTTTATGTCAAAATAAGAAAACATGGTGATGTTGAAACATTGGCTTGAATCTGCTCTAAGATAGAATCACAATAGACAATGATGGGTTTGAATTAGGTAAACTTTGCTCGCAAATAACCTCGGTTCCTTATAGGTTGCAAAATCTGAATGCAAATGAAATTAAACTCAACATTTTATGTATACATGGTAATATCTGATAGGTAGTTAGGTTAGTAAGTTGACCTATCAACAACCACCAAACATATCTTCACTCGTTTTACACAAACTCTACTGTGTAGTTTTCCAAATGAAAATGCATTTTAAAGCAAAATCAGACAAAAAGAATAATGGTTTTTGTGAGGAAAACCCACCCCAATAGAACTTTTCCTTTGTCTTAAAGACAAAGGTCCCTCCTTATGCTACTAAACTTGGCTTACAATACCTTTCAAGCATGCACAAAGAGATATCCTTTTCTCTATGATCAATACTTCTTCCTCGATATTGCTCTCAAATGTCACGGTCCATATCCGCTTCCAAGCATCAGTATGAAACCCTTGCAAATTCAACCACATTGGAAGCCACCAACACTAACAAACTGACGTATGAATGTCATATATATAAGAATAAGAATGTAAAGCTTATCCTCTCATCTCACAAATATTCATTTCTAAGAAATAAAGGCTAAAAAGATGGTCTCATCTGTGTGTTCTTATCTCTTGTTTGCCTCTTTCTGTGCAACGCTTCACTTCTTTACTGCTGAACTGCAACTAAAAAGTACCAGTTTGATGTGAGTAGCCTAATGGATGTCTGTGATCAAACTATATTCTTTGTGCTGATCAATTCTTGATTCCTCATCTTTTTCATTTTTTTTCTGAAACTGATCAGGTTGTAGTGAAGAATGTACGTAGACTGTGCCATCCCAAACCAATCGTCACAGTTAACGGTAGGTTCCCTGGGCCAACCATTTATGCCCGAGAAGGGGATCGAATCATCATCAATGTTACAAACCATGCACAATATTCCGTGTCCATACGTTGGTATATAAAACACAACAGTCAAATTATGTCGATCAATATGTACTCCTCTAAGTGCAAATGATTAATTGTTCTCCTGTACAAAAATAGGCATGGGTTGAAGCAATTTCGCAATGGATGGGCCGATGGTCCAGCCTACATAACACAGTGCCCAATCCAGAGTGGCACTGTTGGAAATATTAGCTGTTTATAGACAATAACGAAAATCAGTTTAAGCAATTTAATAATTAACAGATAATCATTATTATAACACAGATATAAGAAATATATATCAAATGAAAAAGAAACAGAGTTAGAAATACGGCCTGATGATCGAAGCGTGCAAAGCACTGTCCCAAGAAACTAATTGCCCCCTCTGGTACAGGGCTACGCGGCAATAGATCTCGGAGATACGACGACCCTCGGTCAGGCGACCTCCTTCTCGTCGGCACGAGCTTCAAGAAGGTTTTGCGAATTCTTCTAGACTTTCAGGGAACCAGCGTAAACAGAGAACTATTTTGAAAAGAGAAGGAGAGAAGAGATCTGCTGATTTTTCACTGTATTAAACTATTCGGGTTTTGGTCCTTTTATAGGGTTAAACAGCCGTTATACAAAAACCCGTAGTTAATACGTTTTAATCACGTTAATAAAACTTAGCCGTTATTAAAAAACGCTTCCGTTACAAAATAAATTCACAAAATATTTATCACGTTTTTAATCACACTAATAAATTTTTACCGTTACAAAATATTTCTGTTACAAAATATTTATCACATGTTAATTGTTAAAAAATAAAAATTATATTTTAATTATTCAAAAATAAAAATGTAGCAGATTAAGGGCCCCTCAGTCCGAAGCTGCATTCGTGTCCGCAGGTCGTGTGCGCGCGCCACCCGACCCGACCCGAACCCGAGCCCGAGCCCGGCCCGGCCGGCGCGCGCGTGTATGGTGTGGAGCATAACCTTTATTTTCTTCTAGGCATAGGAGAGAAAGGAAAGGCTTATAAAGAGCCTATCTTCCCATCTCTTTTTCAATATGGGACTAAAGTTTTCCTCTTTTCCTCTACAAACCCAAGTTTTAAGTTACAACTCCAACAATCCCCCACATAACTTAAAACTTAAAATAATTCAGAAATAAAAGTAATATAAAAACAAATAAATAAGATTGCTGGTTCCCTTATACTATGTAATAGGTGGAGGTACCTTTCGGTTTGAACCTTCACTTAGTGACAGTTGTATAGATCCGTGAGAGCTTGGTGGACTTCGCCTTGAACCAGTCTCATTTATCGGATTTCTACAGAAAGCACACATAGTATAGTTTTGAAGAATTCTAAACGGGTTGCGCTATTATCGGCCTTGCGCAGGTATCTTTCATGTGTGTTACTAGGGAGCAGCCCTGATCCCATAGTCGCGGCCTCACAACTACACACATATAGGTGAATCCTAATAAGGATGCGAGCAAGTAAGCATCCTGCCTCATGGGTCTTGGATTCATTAAGAGTTAGACTCAACCTTTCACTTGCTTTTTATGAGCACTGATCACCCTAGGGATGGGAGCAAATAAATTCAGTGCTCCTCACAATTAATCACTCATTCAGTTTGTTTCTACCCATTGAACCTCTGCGAGGTGGGGTTGCCACTGCAGTGATTTTTCTTATGGGCTTAACCCCATCCCCCTCGATGATTCTAGGACCACTGCCCTAGATAAGCCTTTAGTTAAGTGATCTGTAAGATTTTTCTCTGATCTTACAAAATCTAAGGCTATTATATGGTTTTTCATCTTATATCTCAAGGATTTATGTCGCACTTTCAAGTGTCGATTCATCTTCACATTTGCATTCTCTTGATGGCATTTGTCAATCGCTGACCTGCAATCACAATGAATAGAAATGGCTGGTAATGGTTTTTGCATTAGTGGAATTTCAGTTAGTAAATCTTTCAACCATTCAGCTTCTATACTAGTAGTATCAAGAGCTATCATTTCTGATTCCATTGTACTTCTAGCCATTACAGTTTGTTTAGTAGATTTCCAGGACACAGCTCCTCCTCCTAAAAGGAACACAAATCCTGTGGTGGATTTTACATCTACTGAGTCACTAATCCAATTTGCATCTGAATAACCTTCTAGTACAGATGGATAACCTTTATAGTGTAAACCATAATTCATAGTTCCTTTTAGGTATCTCAAAACTCTTTCTAGAGCATCCCAGTGACTCTTATCAGGATTTGATGTATATCTACTAAGTCTATTTACTGCATAAGCAATGTCAGGTCTGGTGTAGTTTGTTAGGAATCCTAGTGATCCAATTATTTGTGCATATTCTCTTTGTAATTGAGGATGACCTGTATTTTTCTTTAGATGTACATTAGGATCATATGGAGTGGAAACAGGTTGACAGTTTGGATCATAAAAATTCTTAAGGATTTTCTCTATGTAGTGTGATTGTGATAGCACATATCCATTCTCATTTTTCATGATTTTAGTATTAAGAATTAGGTCAGCTTGACCTAAA